CTATAAACTGTTAGGTCATTGAAGAATTATATTTAAAGACGAGACCCCAAACACAACAAAACAAAGAAAAACAAAGCCCTTTTTATTTCAGGTACTGAAATAAACAGGCTATCCTCTGACTTTTTACTTGTATTATTTATTTGCACTATTCAGATTCTAACAAAGCCATAAAAGAGCTTTATTCTTCATTTTACAGATGAGGAGACTGAGATCGAATTTAGCTAGCCTGCTGATTGTAGCAAAGCCAGATTTAAACCCAGTCAATTTATGTTTATTTCCATCATAAAAAGCCATTACCTATTTAGAGGATGTACAGACATTCTCCATTTAACCTAAAGGGTTACTTAAATGAAAGAATAAGTTTGAGTTGTAGATTTCTCAATTTGTATTCTCATTTTACTTTAATATGAAGAAAGAAAATAAAACAAACAACCCCTCCACCTCAAAAGAACTACAGAACAAACATGCTTAATTTGTTCTTTTAAAACAGATGCAATACAAAGTATCATAAAAGGCTGTTAACTCGTAGCGAAGAAAAGCCCAAGACCAGATGCCATGGCTGAATTCTACCAAACATTCAAAGAGGAATTAATATCTATACTTCTTAAACTCTTCCGAAAAAATAAAGCTAGAGGGAATACTTCCAAACACAATTTGTGAGGCCAGCATTACCTTGATACCTAAGACAGACAAGGACATCACAAGAAAAGAGAACTACAGGCCAATTTCTCTAATATACATTGATGCAAAAATACTCAGTAAAATATTAGCAAACTGAATCCAACAACACATCAAAAAGATTATACATCATGACCAAGTGGGATTTATTCCTGGCATGCAAGGCTGGTTCAAAATATACAAATCAAGCAATGTATACATCACATTGATAGAGTGAAAGATAAAAACCTCATGATTGTCTTAATTGATATAGAAAAAGTCTTCAACATCCTTTCTTGATTAAAAACTCTCAATGGTTTAGGTATAGAAGGTAAATTACTCAACGTAAAAAAGGGCTATTTTTGAAAAACCTACAACTAACATCATAATGGGGAAAAACTGATAGCTTTTCGACTGAGATCTGGTACTAGGCAAGGATACCTACTCCTGCCACTTCTATTCAACATTGCAAATACTAGCAATAGCATTCAGACAAGGAAAGGAAATAAAAGGCATCCAAATTGGAAAGGAAGAAGTAAAATTATATCCATTTGCAGATGACATGATCCTATATGTAAAAATCCCGAAGATGCCACATAAACACTATTAGGATAATAAGTGAATTTAGTGAAGTTGCAAGATACAAAATCAACATACAAAAATCAGTAGCATTTTTATACACAAATAACAACTAAAAAATAAAAAAACAATTTCATTTCTGATAACATCAAAAAAATACCTAGGATAAATATAACCAAAGAGGTGAACAATTTGTATGCTGAAAACTATGAAACATTGATCAAAGAAATTAAAAAAAACACAAATAAATGAAAAGCCATCCCATGGTTGAGAAGAAATACCATTGTTAACATGTCCATACTATCCAAAGCAATGTACAGATTCAATACAATTACTATCAAAGTCCCAATGATATTTCTCATAGAAATAGGAAAAAAACCCATAAAGTTTGTATGGAACCATAAAAGATCATGAATGGCCAAAATAATTCTGAGAAAGAAAAACAGAGCTGGAGGCATCACACTTCCTGATTTTAAATTATATTGCAAAACTATAATAATCACAATAGTATGGTACTGGCATAAAAACAGACACATAGATCAATGGAATATAGTAGAGAACTGAGAAATAAATACAAACATATA